TGGCTGCAGCGTGTCGGGGGCGCGGCCGGAGTGCCTCGTCCGTGGGGTTTTTATTCCCGGGGGTGCAGGCGGAGAGCTCCGGGACCGCTCGTGGGTGCGAACCAGGGGTGGAGGGGGAAGGCGGTAGAGCGAAGTCGCTTGGAAAGGGACAGCGAGTGAAGACGTCGCTTGAGAAATCTGCTTCGGAGAGCAGAACTAAAAACACTGATGCAGACGAACCCGCGATGGTTTGCGTGCCCAAAATACGCCGTCCATATCAGCGAAAGCAAATCGTAAAGCTTTTCTGTGATAGGGAGGTGGCTTTTATCTGCTTCACGTATGTTTGGTCGCAAAGGTTTAGCTTTGCCGCTTGAAGTCACATCGTTGACAGGATCCTGTGCAGCAGTTGTACTCGTTAGGGAAAAGCAGTTTTCAGTTTGAAGTAGAAACTTAGGAAAGATCCAGCATCGAGGTATTCTGAAGAACTAAGTGTTGATTTGGAGACCACAAGAACGTTTTGGGGGATAAAGTTAAAAAACAGTTATTTATTTGAATAATGCATTTTATTTTAAGCATGCTCAGAATTTTGTTCTGACTAACTGTCCAAAGTTGCTGGTAGCTATTTCAGAAACTTAGTAATGGCATCTCTGCTAGTGGGTAATTCTCTTAGAAGACTAGCATTCTTGATGTAAGAAGCGATGTATACTGACAAGAAAAACAAATGGTGATGCGAATGCAGAATGTGGCAGTATAATCAACCACACTGCGTAGTCTGTGGTTAAAAATGTTTTTCATAAAAAAACCAAACAAACAAACAAAAAAAAAAACCCAAAAAACCTCACTCCCCACAAACCAAAACCAAACAAGCAAAACCCAACCCCAAAACCACCTGAAAAAATCTAACAAACAAACAAAAAAAAACCAAAAAACCCCACTCCCCACAAACCAAGAACAAACAAACAAAACCCAACCCCAAAACCACCGAAAAAAATCTAACGCAAAACAGATCATAGCATTGAATAATATCTTACTTCTATGTGTGCAAATAATGCAGAGCTTGCATAAATAACTTGCGTGCCTGCCAATTTCTAAATAATGCAGAGCTTGCATAAATAACTTACTTGCGTGCCTGCCAATTTCTGTTTTAAAAATAGTTGCATTAAGGGTGGTTTGTTTTTTTTATGTACCGAAACAGTGTGTTTCAGGAAACTATGTGTTCGCAGTGTTATGCAAAATGTTGCTGGTGAATTTAGAGTATTATACCATCAAGTTTCCTTCTAGCCAGTCATGAACTTTTAGCTTGGGCAAATGCTTTCCAGAAACAACTAACATAACATATTAATTCCTATGTTTTGTGAACCTAGGAAGGTGCAAGTAAAACAGGAGGGCAGTAAAGATGAAGTCAGGCTCTTCTCTGTGGTGCCCAGTGAATGGACAACAGGCAGCAGGCACAAGTTGAAATACAGGAAACGCTGTTTAAATGCAAGATCACTTTTTTTTTTTGTACTGTGAGAGTGGTCAAACTGGAATAAGTTGTCTGGGGAGCTTGTGGAGTGTCTGTCCTTGGAGTTACTCAAAAACTGACTGGAAGAGGCCCTGTATAACTTAGTCTGTTTAATTTGGCCCTGGTTTGAGGGACTAGATGATCTCCAGAAGTCCCTTTGAACCTTACCTGTTCTAAGTGGTACACTTCAATAATAATATTAAAACTGCAGAAAGAATATTTATTTGAGGAGATGTAGGAAGACCAACAAAGTATGAATGACAGCACGTTTCACTTTATTCTTTCTGCCCAGCAGCTGCTGTATTATCACACAAATATTAAAGTTTTGTAAGCAAGTTTTCTTCTGTTAGCAGGACAGATCTTTTCATTAACTGTTTTATATTTCAGACAAAGCATTTCTTAATACAAGTATCATAGCAAATTGTGATCTGTAAGTTAAATGGGGCAAAATTTGGTTAGTAGAAAGAAGGAAAATATGTCTTAAAATTGTCAGATATTTAGATACAAATTCTTCAATGGTTAATGGCTGTTTAGAATTGGCTGCCTTTCACTGGGGGGTTTCAATGGCAACACAAAATTCATTACTGTGTATTTATCTTGGGCTGTATATCAATTAGGGGGGTGATTCTCACAGAAACCAGGAATTACATTAATTAAGAAACTGCATTTCTTTTTCAGACGAAGGAAATGATGAACAGCTGTATGAATGTCCAATGTGCAGTCTTACCTGTACAAACATTCAGATTCTTGAAGAACATGTGGATTTACACTTAGAGGAACACAGCTTTTCAGAAGGTACATGAAAGGATACAAGCTTGATAATACTTGAAAGCATTTACAAGTATTTGCATGTTGCAGTAGAGAATCTCAGACAAAATTTAAACGAAATACTTCGATATTTAAAAAGAGAACTGGACACATACATAGTGGAGTGAACATAGTTAATAGCAAGTCCTATCACTTGCCCAAGTGCTCTGCTTAATTACATATGCTAACAGAAACATTTTTCTATGTATGCTTGTTAAGTAAACACACTGTATGTTAGCCAAAACTAAAACTTGGAGCGAAAAATATTGAAAAGAAAGCCATATTATTATATTTTTTTTCCTAGTTCTATAGAAGATTTACATGCATGGAATTTAGAGTGGCACATTCCGTTGTGATGAGCTGAAAATCTGTAGCTTATGAAAACTTCAAATTTTTTCTCAATTCTTTTCTCTAAATGCTTGTGATGATTCATTAGTCATAGCAATAAAGTAAAGGAATCAAAATCAATTTTATTTATTAGCTTGACTAATAAAGTGCTAGAGATTCCCTATCCAGTTCTCTGATCCTAAATTTGTTTTTGTTGCTTTGTTCTGAGACTGCTGGCAGTGATCATAGAAGCTCATAAGCCTGTGGTATTCAAGAAACTGGGACTTCTTGCTAACAACCATGTGAAACATAGTAAACAAAAGCTGTTTTCTTAGTAGTAGAGGTACATGCATTATTTGCCAGGTAGCTGCGCTGGTAACTCAGCATAAACTTTGTCCAAGGCAAGAGTCTGAGTCTTGGTAGACTGAATGCAGTCAGTCCTGTCTACTGTTTGTTGGTAATAGCTCAAAATGGTGTGGGTGGCATCTCCTAAAAATAATGCTCAGTTGTGTTTATGTTTGCTTAGAAAAGAATCTTCATAAATTAAATAAATGATCCATCAACGCATTGTTAACCTCCTGATCAAGTTTTCTGTCTTTGGAATGTTATTCCTGGGTAGGTGGAAACTTAAGAGATCTAGAACTGGCTCAATGGCTCCAAACTGAAGAAGATAATCGGCAGAGATCAGAAGAGGAGAAGCGAGAGAAGGAAGAATTTAAAAAGCTGCAGGTACAGTAATATTTCTGAACAGTAAAATTTTGAACAGTTGTGCCATTAGAAGCTGAGTATCTTGGAACTGTAATGACCTGGAATGGCAATACCAGGTCAGACCTACGCAGTCAGACAGGCTCTGTTGAAGTAACGGTGCAGGAGTGGGTTGCAAGCAAAGGCAAGCTCTTGGCAACCCTGATCCTGGCACAGGCGCTGGACATACCTGCCTTGACCTACTTGGCTTTAGTGCTGAGTGGTGCTGGCTCAGGATGGAACCGGGTGCTCCCTGTGCGTGCCATACTGCTCTCACCGGGGGCCCCGGCATGCCTGCTGCCTCCTACTCTGCTCCACCCAGCTCTAGTGCTCTGCCTTGCAGCGCAGCCTGCCGCGTATTCCCTGGCAGAACGCCTGAGACCCTGAGCATCCTGGCTCTCCTCTTCCTGGCTACCATCACCTTCTCCAGTGACCACTCCCCAGCTAGGTCCTGCTTCCCTCTCTCTCCTGTATGACAGCCCTGATAGCACACTTCCTGCTCTGATTGCCTTTTGGCCATTGACTGCCTCTGTGCCCATGGCTGTCTGCTCAAGAGGGAGCAGAGGGATGTGCCTGCTCTTCCAGCTGTGGCTTTCCTAGTCTCACATTCCTATTCAGGAGTGAAGCTTCGCCTTCAGCTCTAAAATATCTTTAAGTCTGAAGTTTTTATGTCTCGTTGCTCACTGTTTTTCAAAGTTACTGATCGTGCATGCAGCTTCTTGAAATGATTAAATGTAAATTTTTTTTAAAAAACATGATTTAAATTATGCACATTCCATCCCTAACAGAGACAGTACGGCTTGGATAATTCTGGAGGCTACAAGCAGCAATTCCTAAAGAATATGGAAAGGGAAGTTGATAGAGGAAGGATGCAGCCTTTTGAATATCACAAGAGAAGAGCTGACATGATGGAATGTTTGGCTTTTGGTATAGATGATGGGAAAACAAAGACCTCCGGTAAAAATGCTGAAATTGTATACACCTAAGACTATACTTTTTAGACCTAGGTTGTCATGACCAAACCTGTCTTTAACAAAGGTTCCGATGGAACCTTGGAACCAAGTTGTCTGGTTAAGGGCCCAAATGCAATATGTATCGAAAGATGCAAATGTCTTATTACAAGTTGTTTGTCCTTGAGTGTATGCTTGTTTACTACTTGGTGCTCATTGGTTCCTAACCTAGAGTAGCTGTCAAAATTGACAGTAGTTTTTTATCTTGTGCTTCAGTTAGTTGTAGTATCACATAAGCTGGTCCCAGGTAACCACAGTATTTGTCTGATTACAAAGTCCAAGACAGGACTGGGAAGAGTAGATATCTACTTGATACATCTTTGAAATGTTTTATAATTGGTGCAAAAATACAGTGCCAATGCATTTCTGTGTCCCTTTCAAAAGGCGTCCTTGTCTTTACTTGGCAATACCACAGTTCAGAGGTCTTTTAGCTTATTGCTAGTGGTTCTAGCTTACAAAATATCCATTTGGTTCTTGACAGGTGAAATCAAATTTCTTCTATAAGATGTATTGAGTGGAAATAATACACTTAAAATTTTCATTCTTGGTAACGATTTAGACTTCAGAGAGGAATTCCGAAAATAATCTGTGATGGCTATGGATTGATTGTCTTCACAATTGCATGGCAATAAAGGACCTTTGAAAATTTAAATACACAAATTGGAGAGACCATTCCCGAGCCTGTTCTTTCATGTAACAAAGGAGGATTTGGAATATCCTGCAAGTGGATTTTTTAAAAAATACTGACAGTAATTCTCAAATTATGTGTCATTCCTTTTCTTGTCTTAGTTTCTGCAGGAAAAATAATTTGAGGGGGAATAAAAGGATTACACAGTATGCATAAGTATTGTCATGTTTTTAAGGGGATGTTGTACTGGAGGTGGCAGTGGCATAGAAATGCTTCATTGGTGACATTGTTTTTCCTGTTTCATTGTAATAGTTCCTGTGCATATCACAGTTTATAATGTAGTCCAAGCTATTAAACTTAGAATATTCATCGGGTAGCACCAGTGGAAAAAATAGCTTGAATTCTGAAAGCTTCATAGTACATAAATTCATCAAAGTAAAGACCATTGAAATGAAATAGGTGCAATGTCCACTGGTTTTGTGATTTGGGTTCTAGATGTAATGTAGGATCACATAGAAGTTTTACAATAAATTGTCTTAACCTCTATCTGTTCCAAGTAGGGGAAAGAATCTTTTCTGGAAAATTTTGTAGTTCACTTTGCAGATAAACTTCATGTTTGATCTTCTTTTAGGAGTCATTGAAGCACTGTGCAAGTACTATCAGAACGAAAACAAAGATGTGAGGCACGTGTGGCTTTCAACAGGAGTAGATCACTTCCACTCATCTTTGGGCGACAAAGGCTGGGGTTGTGGTTACAGGAATTTCCAGATGCTCCTTTCCTCACTGTTGCAAAACAGCTTGTATAATGACTGCTTGAAAGGTATTAAACAAAGTGCTGCCTAAAGTGGACATGTACTTTGGATGATGACGGATGATGACAGCTGACTGATGTTTTTACCTGTTCATTTACACAGCGAGGCTTACTAGGTCATGTTACCTATTAAATGCTTGTTATACCACTGCAGCTTGCTGTGGAAGGAATCAGAGGGGTGAATACTGGCAAGGCAGGATGTGGTTGAAGTTTTGGCTTTCACGATTTTTGTCCATCTTTGTATCATCAACTGCTTCTTATAAAATAAACTGAATATTTTTAACTAATAGACTATTTCAGTAACCATCATTCAAACCCTTTTCTGCTCCAGATACTACAGTAATTCCTGGTATACCAAAGATTCAGTCCATGATTGAAGACGCCTGGAGAGAAGGCTTTGATCCTCATGGGGCGTCTCACTTCAACAACAGATTACATGGTTCCAAAGCATGGATAGGAGCATGTGAAATTTATTCGCTGTTAACCAGTCTCAGGATAAAGTAACTAGTGCTTTTTTATTGTTGGTGTTATTTTTAAGTGCTTTACCTTTTAAAAGTCAGAATTGCCGGTGATGCAATGACAAAGCCACCTTAGTGGCTTTAAGTTTAACCAACCTATTAACAGATCTGATGTAGCACAGTGTAAAGCTGTGTAACTCCTCAGGCAGGTTCATAAATTGAATAACTACTTAGATAATTGAGACTTGCTGAAGAATTGTGCCACATATGCATAAAATCGAACATTGATCAAAAACTTAATTTCTCTAGAAGTTTCTTTTCAAGAAGAGTCTGAATTTCAGCTATTCACTCGCATAATTCTGAGAGCTGTTAACTGACTTCTGTAGTGCATGTGTATCACTTATACAAAAAACCCCAAGCATTTTAATTTTTGCAAGCTTCACAAGCACTTGTTAGACTGAACAGAGTAGAATGTTTTTGTTACAGAATAAGTCTTCCAGTTTTGAATAGTATATATATAACATTGCTTTGTAAATATTTGTCCCCTACTCCTGTATTAAAAAAAAAAAAAAATGGTAACGACCACTTGATGACTGGAATTGTGGTGTTTACAAAACATTCTTGGTGCAGGAGGAAAGGATTGAGAGATGAAAAAGTTGTTTTAACAAACAACCTGCTTGTAAATTTATTGTTTTCATTCTCAATGTTCTGTAGGTGTCAAATCATTGACTTTCACAAACCAACTGGCCCTATGGGTACACACCCTCGTTTATTTGAGTGGGTTTTGCGTTACTATTCTATAGATAACGAAGGTGGTGCAAAGGTATTGTGTACTTCCAAACCACCTATCTACTTGCAACATCAAGGTCAGTATCACAATATGCTGGTTTCTTTCTTTTCTCTGTCTTTCTTGATATGTGCTGCAATTCATTTTACATTTCCTTCTTCATTTAATTGAAGGCATGGCTTTATTTCCTGATATTTTTTTTATTTAGTAAGAGCAACATTAACATTTGTATTTTTATTGGATGGAAGAACTGAGTGTGACTGGAATCTCAAATTTTTGACATCTGCTTTTTACTTAGAACCACCTTATTCAACTTCAAGTAGTATCTTCCTTGTTCTGAAAATAAGTAGTATGCTATAAGGAATGGGATTTACGTGTTTTAAAATAATGAAACTCTTTTGAAATTAGGTCATAGTCGTACCATTGTTGGAATAGAAGAGAAGAAGAATAAAACCTTATGTTTGCTACTGTTTGACCCAGGATGTCCTTCTCAAGAAATGCAGAAATTGCTAAAACAAAATAGTGATGGTACTAGTCTCAAACTACTTCGGAAATTTGTGGGTAGCCTAAAAGAAAAGCAATACCAGATAGTGGCTGTAGATGGTGTACTCTCATTGGAAGAGAAAGCTGTAAGTATTTCAGAAAATGGTTTCTGTCTAAGAAAATGTAATAGAATCTACATCTTTTCTTTAATACTCAAAATGCATATATGCATATGTGGTTGCATGGTGAATTTTTTTTCATCTCTTCATTTTCCTCATTCATCTTCTCTGCTACTGTCTGCTTATTCTCTGTGAATTGAGTAATTGCAGGATATCAAGACCAAAAAGGTTTTGCATGTAAATGCATGCCACCTTGATGTAACTGGCAACTACTAAATCTTTTATGAAGCTTGCAGCTGTTGGCACATGTAAATTAGGCTTTTTTCCTTCTTTCTGTTTTCTTACAGTATTTTCTCCTAAGTAACTTATTGTGGGCATATAAGGTACTTACAAAGCATTCATAGTCCAAAATTACGTTCAGGGTTGGTTGGTGGGTTTTTTTTGGTAATGCTATGTGGAGTCGATCAGCCTTTGATTGTTGAAGAACAAGGTGCGCTGAGGCCTAACCATCCAATGTCTCCTCAGCTTTGACACGAGAACTGGTGCATTCCACTTTCTGAAAGTACTTAGAACTTTATGTACTCAGAGCTCTGAGCAATACACGTGTTTGAGCTGTTGGCATTTTTGTAAATCCTATCCACGTGTTTCAGTTTGGGCATTGTAACTTTTTAAGACCTTAGAAGTTTTCAGCTGAATGTTTGATGTAACTTTTGTTTTGTAAGCTTTCTCTTTCCTACACTAACAAATCGATTCTGAGGACCCTTGTTCTGATTCTGTGGTGTCTTAGCACTGTTCAGCATGTTCAAGCTTCAGGACAGACTTTTGTTTAAACTATGAAATAACTGGTGACTGAGTCACCTGCTCAATGGTATTTAACATCTGTATATTGAAATGAGGTATTGTCTTAGGTGTTTTCTGGTCCTGAACATGTCAGAAATATCAGTGAAACACAGACATCCTCACTTCCTCCTACTGGCAAAAGCTTTAAAATTCAGGACATGGTAAAAAGAAGTGTGATGCATGGGATTTGCTTGTGGGTTGTTGTTTGGTTTTTCTTCCTCTTCAAATCTTTGGTTTATATTTAAAAACATCAGTTGTTTAGAATTTTGTTTCGAAAGCTCCCATTTAGTTAAGATGAAATGTAACCCCCTGTTAAGCTTACTAAACTACTAATTTGGAAAATGCTCTTTAAAAATGGTGTTTTCCTCCACTAAACTATTCACGTTCCTCTCTCTCCACCTTTTTTTTAGGCTCGCTGCCGTTCTTCTCAAGTCTTAACATCAGAGAAGATTCCTTAAAGGATGCCTTTATTACCTCTTTCTGGAATTTGCTGGATGGAAAACATTTAACTTCTGGACTGTGACCCTAATTCAACAATTTCTAGACATAAACTATGCCTCCATAAATGCTTGGGGGCTGTGAAGAAGCACAAGGCTGGAGTAAACCTGTAGTTTTGATCTTCAATCAAAACTGCCCTCCTGATGAGTCTGAAATTCTGAAGTATTACAGTCCTCGTCTTACTGGAAAATATGGTATTTTCTTAGTTGCCTAAATTACCAAGCAACGCCTACCATCCTGTAGCAAACTATGCATCATAGTTAACTGTCAATAACCAGTGGATGAAGGTACTATGGAGCTACTTTATTGGAGTGCCTGGTTGTGATTTACCTCTGTAAATATATTTATGCCGCCTCTGTGGCCAGTGCTCTATTTTATACCAGATTTGATCAACAAATATCTATTATGCCTCAACAAATTCTCCTGCAACTATTTGCAAAGAACAGAGACAGTGCAGTGATTTCACGATAAAGCTGTTCCACCAGGGATTAGTTTACTAGTGAACTTCTTTTCAGTTAGCTGGCTTCTCTAGGTGTATCACTTGTAAACATGAACGTGTGCTTATGAGGTGGATCAACGTTGGCACTAGCTGTGAGGTCCAAAGTGGGGTGCGTGTGCTGTAGGGGCTGTGCAAGACAGTCCATTGGGGTATGGGAAAGAAATATTTCTTTTGTACCATGAATAAATAAAATAAAAATATTTTTTAAAAAGTCTTTATTTCATCCTTTATTTCTGTTTTTCTGTATGTTTTATAAAGTACATCCCCTAGGTCTCAGAGGTATCTCAAAAGGACATTAGAACAGACTGTTCCCATAGGGCTCTATTGTGCTGGGTTAATGCCATTTAAGAGACTCGGGCTATCTGCTGAAACAAGTATTTTGGGTGTTTGAGGCACCCTGCTACGTCTAAGACATGCTGCTCTGGCTGATTGTAGGAGTCCTGCCTCTCCAGCAGGGTGGCTGGGGGCTGGGAGGGATGGTCGAGTGTGGTGCAAATAGCGCTAGATGTCCCTGCCCATGGCGGGGGGTGGGGGGTCTGGAATTGGATGATCTTCAAGGTCCCTTCCAACATAAACCATTCTGTGATTTAGGACACTGGAGGGGCTGAGATCAGGGACAGAACTCCTTGGAATTAGGGGACCACCAAATTTGAAATATTTCTTTGTAGTGGCTTGTACGTGCTGTTTGATTCCTGTGTAGCCACCATGGGGCTGCTTGATTACAAGTGAGCAGAAAAGTGGGAGTCCCACTTGATGCAGCTAAAGATGCCTCTGCAAGGCTTTTGTAATCAGAAGTAGATTGTGCACAGAGCCTTGCTGTTGCTGGGGGTCCTGGCTGCTCGTGTTCACCTGCAAACTGTACTTTCTGAAAAAGCGGTGAAGGAGTGTCTGTGAACCTCCACAAGACAGAACACAAACTGATTACTGGAAGTCCTTCTGAATTGGCTACACATCGAGTGCTGAAGCAGTTCAATCTTTACACGCAGCAAATTAACTCTCAGAAAAGCTTCAGATGCTTATCATGAAAATCGCTGCTGTGGTTCGTCAGAAGCTTTAACTGTTTCACCATGATTTTGCAAATGTGTTCATTTCTCCTTGAGAACAATGTAAAAACTCCGTAAATTCAAAATTTTGGGAGCAAAATGTTTCATTCTTTCTTGTCTATTTATATTCAATTTATCTTATGTATGACTAGTTCGAATACATTTTTATATGCTGTAAGAACTTACAAAGTTTAATGTGAACATTATTTTGAAGCAAAAAATCAAGTAATCTAATTCTTGTATGATAGTAATTTTCAAGTAATTCTGGTATTTAATTCTAATTCACATTGCTTTATATATAGGCATTTTCAGACGAAATATCGCTACGTCTTGATGGCCCCTAGGTTTTTCTCACAGAAACAGTTTTAATACATCCTAATTATTCTTTTGGGCTTTATGGCAGTGAGTTTCATTCCTCTCTCTTGAGATCACAACAGTATCTTGTGCATTGTTGCTTTCACCTGTAGCCAGCATAGGCAGGTGTATGCATTTGTTTTGCCTGGGCTATGACAGAAGGAAGACTGTCCCAGAGTTTGCATTGTTTTATTAACATTTACTAGTGACATTTCATTTATTGATTCATTATTAAAAACATGATTAATTTTTACTGCAGTAATGCCTAAAAGCCCAAATACCTAGGCAAATCCAGAATGCTAACAAGTGCACGCACACAAGAGTGATGCATTTACAATCTAAAGACGCTGGACATAGCCACGTCCCAGAGAAAAAGGAAATAAGGAGATCGAATTAGTCAGTGTGGCAGAGAATGATGACAGCAATGACTGTCCATCTGCTGGCAACTGCTTTACAGGTGTCATAGCATAGGGTCGTCTGAGGAAGGGATGTAAAGAACAAAAATGATCTTGTTTTGTAGGTATTTGGAAGGGATTTGTCTTAGGCACGATGAGAAATATCATAAGATGGTGATAGAAGATGACACACAGGTCACTTAAAGGTCCTTAATGCTGAATGGGAGAAAAGAGGAAGGAGGAAATAAACTGTCCAAATCTTGAAAGTGCAGGCAAACTTTCCTCTTCCTTCTGATGAAAAAGTGGGACTTGCACAGGCAAAGGGTATTTGCTTCATAAATTTAAGGGAGAAGCAGCCAAATATGTTGATGCGTTCTTGCAGACCCATAGAAGACATTTATATCAACTGATGCGGGCATTAATTGATGGCCTCTATATTAACAGACTCTTTGGAATTTGTTCCTCCCCGATCTTTTTTAGCGGTGACTGTTACTTACAAGAACAAAAATTGGAAGGTGACAGTTTCAGATGATGAACAAATGGTCAGTTTTGGAGCTTCTTTTACAAGAAGTAACCGGAGTAACAGAGAGTGTCTGTTTGTTGTGCCTTGCTCTCAGTGTCTGCTTCTACACCTTCTTTTTCATCGAATATGCATGAGCAGCTTCATTTGCTAATTTCTTGTTTGAATTTTCTCAAAGGCAAAGATTGAAGACAACTCTTTTGGACTTTGTTATTATAATATAATATCTAATGTATGATACGATACATAGACAAAAGGTCTTATCCTTTCTATTGACTACATGGAGTCACAGAGACAGAGATAGACTGTCGTATGGCTTCCATCCAGCCGTGCACAACCTCTCATAGCCCGGAAAAAGCACATGGGAAATAACTGTGCAAACGGCCAGGACAGCTGATTAGCATAGGCTGCCATCTGGTTTTGCTAGAAGTGGTGGGAACCTCTTGGTTTGACCATTTAAAGGGCTGGTATGCACACAAGGATGAGTTTGACACTCTCTTCGTTTCCCAGGAACAAAACCAAGGAAAAACAGTTGCAATGCTCATATCAAAGGTGCATAGCAATAAGCACTCAAGAACAATGAATATTTAGGAAAAAAAAAACCCAAACACTTTTCTGAGATGCTTTCTGGTAAAGCCCAACACATAATGTAAAGGAACCTGTTTCCTCAAGTTAAAGGACCCTGTGATTAAAAAGGTGGACATCTGTAGCTGCCTTCCCCCATGCCGCTCCTGGAGAAGCGTGTCCCCCTGGCCGAGGGTAATCCCTCTGGACCCCCTGAGGCACTGGAAAAATACTGTTAGTCCCAGTTCATATCACAGCTGTGCTCAATATACACTTTTAAACTTTTGTTTTGCTGGTTAATTGCAGCTGTGGCGAACCTTTTGCTGATATGTAGGACCTCTAGGTATATTACTTGCTTGTTGAAATGAGACTGCTGCTGATAAGAGCTCTTTGATATGAAGCTGGAACAAAGTGACCTGAAACTGGGATGATTTCATTGTCTTGCCAAATATAACTATTCTGATAAGGTCTAATATGTGTCTGGAGATGGTAAAAGGAGTTACTGTGTAGGTGGAACGGCACGCTGCAGCATACCCTTCACAGGAGGAAGGAGGACCGTTCATCGAGACCCCACCTCCCCCCATCTCCCACCACAGAGAACAGCACCTGCTCACAGCTTGTTGTGATGTGCTCTACTTGTATACAGTACTCCTCACCAGCAAAGGCTCCTGGTGCCCATGCCTCTGCTGTCCTGTCATCTCGGTGCTACAAAGCAGCTCTTGCTGCAAGCGTCCGGCCTCCAGCATGCGATGGCAGCTTCCCAGGAGATGAGAGAGCGGCAGGCAAGGATGTAACAGCAGCTGCCATCCCAAAGCACATGGACTCCTCTCACAGGGCCTCAACAAGGGGGAGTTGAGCTCTTCATGAATAGCAAAGATTGTTTTGTTTTCCCTCTTCCTCTATGACGATTTTATAAATAGCATTATTCCATTTTTACGTGTTCCCTTACCAGCACATCGGTTTCTGCTAGGAAGAAGTCAGAGGAGTTATTGAGAAATGAATTATGTCCTCTGATGAGTTCTGTATTCAACTTATTCCTAAAGAATTCCTAAAAGATTTTCGATCTTTTACAAGGGCTCAGCCTTTGGGTCAGCACTGGGAGGAACATGATGAAATAGTAGTATCCTCTTCTTCATCTGCATTGGTTGTCTCAAGAGCTGCACCGAGCTCCGACCGTAGAGTCACACCAGCTGGTCCATGGCAGTCCACAGTATTTTTCAGGTTCCTTTAAATCAAATAGGATTTTCGAATGCTTTAAAACAGATGATAGCATATGTAACAGTGACCCGTTCCGTGTACTATGTACAGAGATACCTCTGCACACAGAGGAATTAGGGAGAAAACTCAGTTCTTTGTCACTCTTGCCCGGTCATGGAGATTGGCAATATAATGCTTGTCAGATGTCAGGTGAGGTCATAGCTGATCTGCAGTTTACCAAAATATCAGGCTTTCCAGCTGCACAGATGAATTCCAAGAGTTTATAACTTTTTTACCTTTAAACGTGTACTTCGACTTAGATAATCAGAAACCAAAGGTAGCTGTTAAGACGTGTTTATGAGGTACTATTGCTCCTAAATAAATGATG